GAATTTCCCATCTATTTCAGTGATGTTTGGTATGCAAGAATCGACGGTGACAAAGGCCACATATCTGAATAAAATTTGACGTAGATGGAAATTTTACTGCATCTTATATTCAGTTCATATCGCATGTTTTCTTTTAGATATCTAGTACTTATTTTGCATTCAAAATTTACACTGTTAAAGATATTTCAAAGGACTTTATAATTATTATGCTAGATTCAAGAGCTTTGTTGTAAGTTGAATGCGCTATGTTTTCCACTCAACATGCACGACCTCTTCCTTTTATACCGCCTACTTGAAATGAGGGAGGGTATATAGTGATCGGGATGTCCGTCCGTCCGTATGTAACGCTTTGGGGTATCCATCTCTTATCTGCAAATCCTCGTATACCACTAAATTTAATTATTGAAACTTTCATACATGTAGAATCTTTGTTATATAGTGCCGTTGTGAACCCCATATTTTACTTTTTGATCGGACAGATCTCTTGAGTTTGCCGTAGCAAACATGGACACTAACATCCTTTCTATAATACTGAAGGGTACCAATCTCTCATCCGCAACTCCTCCTTTACCACTGAATAAAACTTAATGATACTTTCAAAGATTCTTTATTACATATTGCCATTGTGCACCTCCTATTTTACTTTTTGATCCGACACATATTTCGGGTCTCCCAGAGCAAAACACGGACTTGACCATTATAATCATATGAGAGGCAGGGTATCATTTAGTGAGCTCAGTTAACGGTGACTCTAGTTTAAAAGCTGATACAGCTTTTAAAACTCAAGACTCACTTTTGAAAAAAAAAAAACTGTATTTATTACTAAGCATGTACTATAAATAAAAATATTTAACATGATATCTCTTATTAATTAAATTAAATTTACGTCGTAAAATGTTTTTAAATATTGTATTTTTTGTAGTTTTAAATCCAAGCGTTACCGAGACAAACTGAGAACAGAAATCAAGGCCCTGGAGTGTTTGATACCTGTCGACAGATCCTCACTTCACCGGAAGTTGGACAGTCAGACGGTTTTTCGTCTTGTTATCTCCTTCCTTAGAATAAAACTCCTTTTTAAAGGTTAGTTTACATTCATTCCAGCTAATATTCACATTTCATCTTAGTAAAATAAAGAAGATGGGTGATGAAGATGTGCAGAATGCCTAAAGCTTTGAAAAGATTTTCAAAAATCATATTCAGTTTGCAATTATGAATTAGGTATTTAAAGTTAAGTTTTCATAATCAGAATTTACGAATCTTTGATAAACAAAACTTTTTCTACAAAAAAATCTTGCCAAAAATTATTCTGTTATTGAAAAAATAATGTGGGGTCAGAGGATTAGCAAAAAAAAACCTATCAAATTTGGCATTTAAATCTTGCTTAATGGTATGACCCGATCATGACAAGGAGTGTGACCGGTCGGCAGGGGATGCTCACTCCTCCATGGTACCTGATCTCTGGTGTTTTAGAGGTCCATATTTGCTCTGCTCCTGATTTGTATTGTTTGATTAATGGGCTTTTGAGTTTGAATACTGTCCGTTATTTCTCTATGTTTCATTCAGTAAAAAAAAACTATATTAGTACTACTGTATTTATTGAAAATACCGTCTTTGTAACTTTTGTATCTACTGTCTAAACTATTATGAAATACATATACTGTATTTGCTGCGAACCTCATCATAGTAAATAATGTATTACGGTCTCAGTGAATACTACATGTATATTCACTTTGTCTTGTCATATACATGTAGTACAAACTTTATTACTGAAATCTCATTTTAATAATTGCTGTTTTACTGCCAAATTCATTTTAATAAATCAATTAGCTATCTCTTAGTAAATATTGTATTTACTGTGTCATCAAAATAACGTTTACATGTATATTTATTGTATTGTTTTGAATTTACTGGGGGGGGGGGGGGGGTAAATGCAAAATTTACATGATAGTTCATTAATTGCTGTCTCCTCCTAGTAAGAACTATATTAACAATCCCATCAAAAGTCTTCTATTTATTCCATGTTAGAAAATACAGAATTTACTTTCTTTTAGCGTTAAAGTCGTCTTAAAAATTTAGAATAAATAATGTATTAAACTACATAACTTATTCTGAGTAAATACTGTATTACCTGCAAACTTATTCCTAGTAATTACAGTGACTGTACTTACTTTCAACTTATTCATAATAAAATTGTACAAAGTGCTAACTTAATCGTAGTCAATTTGTCTATACTGACAATTTATTCTTAGTAAATCTTTATGATACTGCTAACTTATTCTTAATAAACCTTGCCTATACGTATTGCCAATTTATTCTTAGTAAACCTTGCATATTTTGCCAATTTATTCTTGGTAACTTTGTACATACTGCCAACTTATACTTAGTAAAAATTACTTTGTACTTACTGTCTCCAGCCACACTTTTAATGGCTTCAGGAGCAAAAGCTATCAAAATTCATTATAATTTTTTTCGAAAATGTATTTTATTCTTAGTGTTACATAAGATTGACATGTATTATGAAATATGTATGATACATATGATATAAATATTTTTTTCTCAAATTATTGATACTACTCAAAACTTTATTTTTTCAAATTTTAAGAGGTAAAATCATTAAAGTAAAAACAGCCATTTTATAGAGGGTTTTTTTTCAAGCTCGTACTTGATTGAGAATATTGCTTCAACAAAAACATAGAGAAGATTTTCCTCTCTTTGTTGCTCTGAATCTTTAGAGGAGTTTATTAAGGTACTTGTACCAAATATGCATCTTATCGTAAGAATGAGCAATAATTAAACATATTTTAAATTATTTGTTTAAAATTTCGCTATCAAATTCTGTAAACCACTAGATGGTTAAATAAATAATCCAGGGAAACCCACTTGAATTGGATTTGTAAATACACAAATCAAATAAGGGCAGTTAATGCCAGACTGATCGGTCATCATGGCAGGTGACACACCCAGACAACTTCAGGATTACCAGCCACACACACACTGATCGGGGGGAGCTGACTCATTAAATACTTCGGGGTACCACAGAGAGAGCTGAGTATGTCAGTCATTTCTGTATCCCCATTCATCTTCCGAAGCCTTCTTAGTAAATGTATTTCCAGTTCTCGTTATTTCATTTTTGGTAAAAGGTTAGGGTTTGCAGTCTTTGCTACCGATACCTTACGAATCGTAAAGATACACTTTTGGGGGTGGAGGTGGGGGAGGGGTCTTTCATTATGCCCTAATGCAGTTTGATGTTTGCATTTTATTTATGGTTTTCCTCGTGAACTGGAGATATTATCAAAAATTATTCCAGAGATAGAAAACTACAGCATGCGGGGCATATATTTCAAAATTATTCCAGAGATTGAATACTACCGTATGCGGGACATATATTTTAAAATTATGCCAGAGATTGAATACTACAGCATGCGGGACATATATTTTGAAAATTATTCGAGAGATTGAATACTACAGCATGCGGGACATATATTTTAAAATTATGCCGGAGATTGAATACTACAGCATGCGGGACATATATTTTGAAAATTCTTCCAGAGATTGAATACTTCCGGACGATATCGCACAGGGAGGTATCGTCGTCCCGTTGACCATTTACGACGGGATGACACGGCAAGACACCGAGAAGTGCCGTCTGTCTTAGATGGCTAAAGAGTTTTCAATTCCACTTTAACTCGGTTGAGGGGGAAATTTATCGGTGACGCTATCACCTGATGACAGCATCGATATCACGGCGCGTCTACAAACCGCTGCGGTCAGGCACGGAGCGACCGGTTCCGGCACAGGGAATTCGCACCCCACAACAACCTGTGTTGAACGATAGGGAAGGAGCTCGGGGTATTTTAATGTTGAAATGTTTGTCCAACACTCCAAGCAGTTTGTCCAAAATCTAAGCACAGTTCCTAATCTCCTTTATCAAATATTGTGCCTTGTTTTTCATAAATTAAATAGCAGAGCTTTGGAGGAATTTATTGATCAATTTGTGTCTGATTCGGGTATTATTTGCAGTGCAATTCTTCGAACTTTTCAAGCTGTACTCCATCTTCCTTTTTGCTTCAAACAATTGTTCCCTTTGAACCGACAAAAGATATTTACCAAAACTTAAAATATAAATCTTCCGTTTATACTCCTTACGTGTCTCGCTGAACCAAAATAACCTCACGCTGCATAATGAAAAAGTTTCCACCAAACAAAGACATATTTTGCAAAACATATCTTTTCCCAGTATAGCAAACTTGAAACGGTTCTTGTCGAAATCAATTTCTAGACTGTATACAGGATTTAAACGGTATAATCACGTAACCGATAAGCAGATGTTCGAATTATTTATTCTTACATTAAAAGCCATACAGATTTTCTTGTGTTCCTTGTCCCTCCTGATTAAATTTTAAATCTTAGGAAACAAAGAAAATCAAACAGACAAAAATCAAAGGGAAGAAAAATTCAATATATGTTATTGAACTGCTATAGAGAATTATATGTATAGTTGAGCTCACTGACATTTGGTGATGAGGGAATATGGTGACAATGAAATATATGGAGATAAAGAACGGTATTCAAGCTCAAACATTTCAAATAGATGCAAGTTTACACACTGTAATTTCTCTCTCTCTCTCTCTCTCTCTCTCTCTCTCTCTCTGACTCCGTTTTTATTACTTTTTTTTGTATACTTGTTTCAGAATAAGAATATAGAGCATGTAAGGCAAAATAAGTTACATGTAACTCATAATTTATCAACAAAAATTATGTATTAAAGTGATATCACTTGAGTTTGTATACATTTGAATTTAAATTTACAGCATACGAAAAAGTCACACCTTCGTTGCAAAATGGGGAAGCATGCATTAAGGAAGAAAGGCATAGGGATGTGGAGGAATTCTTCAGCGGCAGAAATATATTTCAGGTACGTTCAATACATCATTTTCTTTATCTATCCAAATCAAAACTAAAATGTAAAGTGAGTTTCCTGTTACATAGAAAACGTAAGTGTTAGCTGAATATTTACAATAAATGAACACAAGCAATATATTGCATTGCATTTATTAAATGAAATACATAGAACTGATTTAGTTGAAATACAAATGAAATACAAATCTAACAATTCAGATAGAATATTTTAATAATTTAAATTTATGATAACTTCATCAAACTTTCGACCTCTTTTTCTAATTGTCTGACAACACGATGGTTCATAAAAAGCAGGTGCCCGTTTGGCAAAAACCGACTTAGAATAAGAGCAATTTTGTCACTTTTCATTCTCGCTTCCGAAGGTTGATTCAAAACTCGAACATGTTCCTGAATAAACCTTATAAGAATTTTCAAAACATTCTCTGCAAGAAGTCTGTTTTCTGATTTTTCACACACGAGTGTAAATCCAGTGTTTCCCGCTCCTAACCAGAGAGCGATTCTCTCGACTACAAAAGGGTTACCCTCCGGGAGCCGAACACAACCAAACTCAAACTCTGGGAGGGTGTCGTCGTTACCCATGCGTTGAATATCATCCTCTACGGTCCGTGAAAGAACAGCCTTTCTAAACTGGTACTCAGAGTGAACCTAAATCATATAAATATCTAGTCTGTAACCATTAATACTTTGAAGAGATGTTTAGATGAATATTTTCATTAAAAATAAACAAAAAAAACTATAACATATTCACAAGAGTAGGTACTTTTATCACATTAAATCTATATGTAAGTTCTTCATTTATTAAGTACATGAATAAACAAATCCATACTTCTATATTTTTACCAGAAAGGGGGAGGGGCACATGTATTTAATTGTTTACATTTGATATTGTTTACCTCGTTAGCTATCAATTGAATATCATCCCTTCTCCGATTCTTGTGAGTTGTGTCATCAATTTCTTCAGTGTATGTTACATCTTGTCCATAAACATTGTGATAAAGGACACGACAAGGCCCAGGCAGAAGTGTGTGGATAACAAAAGCATAAACCATCTTGTTTATTTACATCGGAAATGCTAGAGTTGTATGTAAAATTAGAATATAGTATGGGCTATTTATTTCCGATTTTTTCCTTCAGATTCTTGATGGCTTTGTCTTGGCCGCGACAACTGACGGGACTCTGTTATATGCTTCAGATAATGTTCTGCAGTATCTAGGATTTAATCAGGTAAATTTGTAATTTATCTGATTTATTATCAAACTTTAAGATTAATCAATATAGCGAAAGTGCTCATTTAATTTAAAAAGAACCGAAATTCTCCAAATTATTATTGAAATCATTTACTTCGTATGTTCAGGTGGATTTGATGCATCGTTGTCTGTACGGCATTGTACACCCAGATGATCACGACAATATGAAAAATGTTTTAGAGCGACACGTCACTTCCGTTACACAGGTTAGTAAAGTGTTTTGTTCGAAATGTTTTGTTCAAATTCTTGCTTTACATTCATAATCTTTTCTTTCAATGGAAAATTAAACGGAAAATTTCAAGAATAGCTTATGTTTAAAAGCATGATAAAGTTTTATTTATTTTAGATTTCAGATAACTTCCAGTCAAAGAATACGAATATATCATTCGTTTGTCGAATGAAATGTTTTAATGGCACTTCCGCTGGTTACTTGGTAATTAAATACCAGTATAATAAATCACTTTGTAAGATCTTTAAAAATCCTCCAGAACCCAAAACTTTCGATTAACTTTCTTATCCTGACCTCCATTATATAATTATTTTTCCTTTCTTCAAGAAAATTCACTGCTCTGGGAAAATTGAAGATATTCCAGAATTTTCACTGAAAAATAGTCGAAACCAGCCATACATCACGCTGCTCTTTTGTCAGCCATTTATGTTGACCGGAAATGACCTCACTAATGACGTTAAACAAAATGTCTTCTGGAGTAAACACGATATGGACCTTACCATTCGAGAACTGGATAAAAAGTAAGATGACGCTTTACAAATGGCAATAATTTTAAAGATTGTTTTTAAAATCGTGTTTGTAGATAATAATATAAAATGTTAATGTTTTTTTATTCAATAAAGAGCATCTGATATAATTGGATACAACGCCGATGAACTTAACGAAGTCACACTCTACAAATACGTCCACCCTGAAGACCTTGTAACATTTGCTGCTTGTCACAAAACATGTAAATCAAGTCAATATTTTTAATTAATAAATGCCAATACAATACTAATGAAATACTTGATGAGAAAATAAGAATCGTTCTTTCAGTAATGGAGAGCACAGAGATCCAAACGATGTACTTCCGCATCGAGACTCGGAATGGGAAGTGGGTTTGGTTACACAGCAGGGGAAAGGTCATCAGTAAAAACTCGAAGAAGTTTTCCATTGTGTTCACGCATTGTCCCGTCAGGTAAGCGGTCACTTTTTTCAATTGAGTTGTTTTGATCAGAAATAATCAATTTTCTGATAAAATGTTAATTTCTTGTTATAGAGAAGAGGACAGTACATTTTTACAACAGGAAACTGCACTTCGTCACCGATACGCCATCGGCGACCTTCAATTCTTTCTACAAAATGGCCACTATAGTAATGGTGGCAATAGATCTGACCCAGAAAACCACAATGAAGACATTCATGGGATGCAAAAAGTCAGTAACTTCTGCACTCCACACATGGGATTTACTGAAGACGTTTCACTATCTTTTTATACACCGCTGGTAACCTGCCCATCCAGTTGGCATATGATGTCAGACCGCCATTCCCCAGTCTTGCCCTCCACGCATGTTGCACACAAAATCACACAACGCGAAAAGCAACTTCAGTTTCAGGAATTCAAACGACGACAGCAGATAGAGAAGACTGTGATAAAGACTGAGTACAGTATGTACAACCCTATGCAAAACTCTTGCCAACAGTATGTTCCATCATCTGCTGACTCTTTTATGACCTTCAAACCATGTCATAATGGAACGCAAATGATAAAAGCGGAACCACAGGAAAAGTTTTACACAACCTGTGGTCGTGCGATGAACTACCCCAATACCATGTTTTTCAACCCTTCTGAACAAACCCCTCAACCACATTGGAATGCAGCAGTGCCACCACATTACTCCGCTGCAACACCCAATGTTAACGTCTATAATTTTCCTCCTTCGCCGCCATATTCTCCCCAAAAAGTAGCAAACTATTCTTTCAACCAACATATTTATCCCCAACAGGGTCACAACCCAACGAATTTAACATGTGTTCCTCAGCCAGTGCAAACCTTGCCAGATCAGTATGACAGAAGCCAAAACAATACTGGATTTGCTAATTATACTAATTTGCCTATTGGTCATGTGCAAAACCAGTATTTTTCGAATGGATGCGTGAAACCAGATAGAGGAGTCAAGTTTTCCGTCCGATGCAATGCACAGGAACAAAATTCATATTTCTCTCCTCAAGTGAGTAATTTTGGAGTTTTTCAAAATGCAAGTAACATTGCCATCACAACCATTGCTGGGCAATCTTGTGCCATGCCGCATAGATTTTGTCCCGATGAGAGAGTGGAATACGATATCGAGGCCTCCATTCACATGAAAATCGTGGAAAATCCACGAAACAGAAGAGGTGTGCATCAAAAAGGTGAAGTTGACCTTCCGTCCATAGGGAGTTTCTTGGAATACTTGAATGACTCTTAACTAATGATTCTTAATGTTGCAACCGTCCTTGTGTCAACTTTATTATATGTATCACTGCTGTCAATAGATGTTAGCTTCTGAATACATTAACACATATTTCTGAGGCAGTTCTTGAGGGAGACATACCGATCGAAGTACAGATACATTATTCTATGATTTTTAGTGTAAAATTTCACTTGAAATATTTACGTGTAATAGTTTGACAGGATTCGTAGTTTTGGGCTTTAGTGCTCTCCTTTTTGCGCCAATTCCTAAAAAAAGTCATTTATCTGTTTCCATGCAAATATAAATTGTTGGTATTTCTATACACTGTATCTTCATTGTCCTAAATGGCATTTGGCGTACTTTTGTGGTGAATCATGAATGTGGAAATGAAAAATAAAAGTGAAGCATGTTTGCGTCGTCTTTAAGGAACAATTTTGAGGTTCATAATCAAGAAACAGAGGAGCCTGTGTTCTGTTAAGCATAAAAAAATAGCAGTTGTTATTATCCGTTTAAATTTGTTTTAACATCTAATTTACATGTGGAACATTCCGCCTACCTATCAATACAAAGGACTTACGGTGGATGTTTCTGGTCGATAAGGGTTGTTTGCTCTTTTTAGACACCTGATCTGAGGTGTAAATCTGATTTACATTTCCAAATATTTTTCTTTAAGATTCTATCATGTTGTAAATTTTGAATTTTTTAGGGGGTAAATGCAAAATTTACAACATACTAGTAATAGTTAAATGACAAAAATAGGTGGCAAGTCATCAGATTGATTGATTGATTGTATATTGTTTAACGTCCCTCTCGAGAATTTTTCACTCTTATGGAGACGCCACCACTTGCCGGTGCAGAGCTGCCAATTTTGTCCTATACTCGGCACTGAGGGCCATTGAGCAGGGAGGGTTCTTTTTCGTGCCAGCACCTACATGTACTGCCACACGGGACCACGGTTTATACGGTCTCATCCGAAGGACCGGTCTCCACGTCCCACAAAGGAAATGTTAATATGAGAAATGAATTCAATTTTTCAGAATTCATGATGTTCATGAACTACAACGCTTCAAACCTGCCTAAAGACCACGAAGCGCTAACGCGTTTCATGAAATATGCACGTGTGAAGTGTGGTGATTATACGTATATCCTCATGGATTCTCAAAAATTTCAATTCATTTTTTAAATTGACTCAGGATGACGATGTCCCACTGAACTTGAAATAAACTAGAGGCACAGTAAGCAATGAGCTCACTAAGTGATACCACCGCCTTCCTTATGGTAATAATGGCAAAGCCCGTGTTTTGCACAGTGGGAGACCCGAAATTAGTGCCACATCAATAAAAAAAAAATAGGAGGTGCACAACAGCATTACGTAATAAAGAATCCGTCCGTCTGTTATGCTTTGGAGTACCCATCTCGATCCGCAACTCTTCTTTAACCACTGAATGAAATCAAAAATGAGACTTTCACAGGATCTGTGTTACATGGCTTGGTGCCACTGTGCACCTCCTATTTTACTTTTTGATCGGACACATACCTGGGGTATTTTGGGTTTCCCAGAGCAAAACATGACACGGCCATTTTTTTCTCTGTAGTATAGAATGGCACCCATCTCTTATCCACAAGTCTTCCTATGCCACTGAATAAAATTTAATGATACTTTCACAGATTCTTTATTACATAACGCCATTGTGTACCTCCTGTTTTTCTTTTTGATCTGACACATATTTCGGATCTTCCAGTGCAAAACATGAACTTTGCCGTTATAACCATATGGGAAGCGCCGGATATCATTTAGTGAGCTCATTGCTCACAGTATCTCTATTTCAATTTTTTTCTTATTCATGTAGTAATATTCCATTTGACCTGAATATGGCGTCCTCATCTCCCAGCTTTTTCGATAGTCAAGAGCATGCTCTGAGAAACACTAATTTCTTAAACCGAGTCAGACTATTCAGTGATGTTTAGTTGATATTCGTTGATAATATAGGGATTTCAACAACCTCAGTATACCCCCAGTTTGAAAAGCGGAAGGGTATATAGTGATCGGAATGTCCGTCTGTATGTATGTACGTCCGTCTGTTCCCATCGCTTAAGCGCAACTCCTCTTTTACCACTGAATGAAATTAAATGAGACTTTCATAGAATCTTTGTTATATAATGCCATTGTGCTCTCCTATTTTTATAAATTACTTTTTGATGGACACAAACTGGGTTTCCCAGAGAAAAATATGAGCACGGTCATATTTCCATAATATTGAAGAGGCCCATCTCATATCCGCAACTCCTATAGCACTGAATAAAATTTAATGATACATTCCTTACATAACGCCATTGTGCACTTCCTATTTTATTTTTAATCTGACACTTCTTT